GTTGATCCATCCTTCTCACTGCCCTTGCGTGCTCGTTCATGCGGGTCTGCAGTCCAGGGACACGCATTTTTGCTTCAATTAGCAATATTTTCGGGCGCGAAGCGCCACAGTCACCACGACGATGGAAAATCTGTGCCCTTAGCGTGTCATCAATGTACGCGCAAATCAAATTTCTCTAGAGATGTCTCGACAACCATGTACTACCGAAGAGCTTGTCCTACAAGCCGCCGGTGAACACAGGACTAGCGGAGCAATGGGTGTTACAAAATGGCAGACGAATGACTCGGGCACTTATCCAGGACTGTCATTTGCGGCTGCAGAAATATCGCGGAGTCTTTAACCAAATTTTTCCGAAGTGTTCGGAGACGCTGGGAGAGAATGACCTTTTACTAGTGGAACGAGTGATCGTCAATCGAGCCAGAGCACTACAATCCAGAAGAGATAAGAAGTTGGCAGTTAAATTCCAAAAACTATTGTCCACTTCACAGGGTCGCAAGTAGACATTGGTCCACAATTTATCCTCCAAATAACTAACACCTGTACAGTTACAAGTGCGCAAACCCGCAGCATGCTTTAAAACCGCGGATGCTGATCCGGTTAATCTTTTGGCTACCGTCGAGTCAATTCTCAAAAACTCCCAGGAACCGGACGATACGAAGCACCTCATCCGACCGCAGGTTATGTCCTTAATTTTAACGCATAAATCACGGGTGTCAATTTCGAGGGCGGATCAGGACGCCATCAAGACACTGAATGCTGGCAGGAGCATCGTAGTATTGCCAGCTAACAAGAGGCGCTCCACAGTTGTACTTGATAAGGCTGAATACCTCCGAAGGGCCAAAGTTCTGCTCGGTGACCCCAATGCCTACCGCCAGTGCGATAGAGATGCGATGAAGAAGCTAGTGACACAACTCAACACGGCACTCGTGGGACTGCAGAATAACGGTGCCATTTCAAAAATCGAACGACTAAATATAAAACCAAGCGTTTAAGCCATAGCGAACTGCATTTTCAAAAATTCACAAGCCCGGTGCTCCACTTCGGCCCATTGTCTCTATACAAGGAACATCAACATTCAATCTATCGAAATGGCTGTCCCGGCGTCTGAACTTTTTAACATCACGTTCCGACACAACGGTACGCTCGGCCATAAATTTCTTGGAAAGACTTAACGGGCTACACCTTAACGCAGATGAATTCATGGTGTCCTTTGATCTTACCTCACTCTTCACCTCAATTCCTCAGACTCTTGCGATTGAAACTGTGAGTGAGCTACTTAAGAGCCAAATGAGGAAAGGACTTATAAGCCTACATGTGCGCATCTCATCCAGCTGCTCAAATTCGGCCTCAACTTGCATTTTTTATCTTTTAGGACACGGTGTACGAACAAATCAAAGGGACTCCGGTGGGTTCACTGCTATCTGGTTTCCTTGCTGAGGCAGTCGTTCAAAAGTTAGAGACACTGGTGTTTACGAACCATAGACTAGTATTTTTTGGCGCGGTACGTAGACGATATCATCGTCGTCCTCAAGCGTGAAATGATCTCTGAATTTCACACGATCCTGAACTCTATGTTTGCCGACATTCAGTTCACAATGGAGGCTGAGGTCAACAACCAATTCGCGTTTTTAGACGTCCTGGTCCACCGTAAGACTGACGGCAGCCTAAAGACGACGGTATACCGAAAGGCAACCGGTACACGTCAGTTACTCAGCTACCAAAGTAACCATCCGCTGGGCCACAAACGCAGCTGTGTGCGAACGCTCTACAAAAGGGCAGAAAAGTATTGCAAGGAGGTAGGTGACAAAGCGGCAGAACATAAATATCTTCGGTGGATGTTCATTTCTAACGGTTACCCTCGCAGCTTTCTAGAACGCAGCAGACAACCGAAACGAGCTGCAAGACCAGTGATGGAACAACCGAGAATGTGTAGAGCAATGCCATACATCGAGAGTGTTTCTGAAGCAGTCGTTCCTCTATTACAACTACTGGGTATCGGCGTAGCCCACAGACCTGAGGCAACCATAAGACGACCGGCCACGAGACCTAAGGCCCCTCTGTTCCGTGAAGAAAGAGCAAACGTCGTCTCTCGCGTCCAGTGCAGTTCCTGTAAGGCAAACTTTATCGGGGAGACCGGAAAGCGTCTGCAGACCCGCATGAACGAGCACGCAAGGGCAGTGAGAAGGATGGATCAAC